GCAATAAAACAACAAATCCCAAATTGCCTTAATTAAAAATGCCCACTATAATCATAATACATATTGAAATGCCTGAAATGGGCAACAAAGGCTAAACACACCTCTGCCCAGAAGCTGTTCCATAATTTGGGCACCGAAATCAAAATTGCCCTCTCCTTTGTTCCTGTCTAATTGCTTGACAGTACTAATTATTTTCACATTGAGTTCCCAGCTATCAGTCTGGGGATTCTTTCTAAAAGATTTCAAGGGCCAGTCAAGTGTAGGCAATACCTGTACTCTGCATCCACTCATGGAGAGAGAGAAAAAGGACAACGTCGGAGAAGGCTGGACCTGATCTCTGGCCTCTTCTGACATCCCTAATCAAAGTGAAAAGCAAAGTCTCTACAAAGCCTGTTTCTCTGCATCACAAAATGAGCCACTGCATTCCGTCTCCAAATGCAAAACACTGTTTTCAAAATCTGTGTCAGATCTGAATAGGTTCATTCACAACTCCTCCCTGTCCCATTTCTGAATTACTCTCGGATGTCAGACAAAATATCTCCGTGATCATTTCTATTTCAGTGTGTATTTAAGTATTCATTTTTGAACAGATTATTTCACATAATACGTCTTTTCTAGTAAGCCTGTATCTCTAAATTGACTGGCAAAAGTTATTCTCAAAATGAAAATTGTAGAAAAGGTTGAGAAGGAATGCAGGTTTAATGTGGAAGTAGGCTCATGGAATGTGGGATGAAAACAAAAAACAAAACTAAAATCCCAATAAAGAATTTATTTATGACAACAAACGTGCATTTTAGACAATTATGAACCTCTTTATTAACTATATGTAAATCAATATCTAAATTCATTATGCTTGCCACTTGCCTCAGGATTGGTCATAGTAACAAATCCCCGATTCTGTAGATTCTATCCTAATGTGTGTTTCGTTCCCTTCTTTTCCCCCGATTGAAAGAAATGAACAAGCCTCCGTTTAACACAAGAGAAAAAGCTGGGCAAAATCATGCAAGGGTACATTTATTCCTCGACTTACAACAGCTCATTTAGTAATTGTTTGAAATTACAATGGGACTGAAAAAAGTGACATATGACTGTTTTTCACTCTTATGACTGCACCATCCCCATGGTCACACAATCAGAATTAAAATGTTTGGCAACTGACTCATGTTTATGGCAGTTGCATCTCCCAGGGTCATGTGATCCCCTTTTGTGACCTTCTGACAAGCAAAATCAATGGGGAAGCCAGATTCACTTAACAACAGTGTCACTAACTAAACAACTGCAGTGATTCACTTAACAAATGTGGCACGAAAGGTCATAAAATGGGGCAAAACTCACTTAATTGTCTTGCTTAGCAATAAAATGTTGGGCTCAATTGTCATTGAGGCCTACCTGTAATCAGGCAGCTGTCTGTCATAGTGGATGCACGACTCTTCTATCACTAGCTACAACCATCAGCCTTTCTCAGTTGGAACAGGGCAGGCAAACTACCCTATATTGACATGTGTAGACAAAATTGCAAGACTGGAAGGGAGGAGAAAAGTTTTCTAATGGGTTTTACCACAAGACCATTGGGGAAATAGTCAACCAGTAGGACCCAACTGTTGGGGGTAACTCTGTAATCCATTACTTTTTATGGGAAAAATTTGTTTAGTACTCATCATTTTTGGAACTCATCACACTTCCCAAAACCAATTAACGATGAGTACTAAGGTACCACTGTAGTTCTTTTTGTAGGATTTTTGTCTACAACAAGTCAGTTTCCAATAAAGCTTGGACAACCTGGTATAATTGATATGGCTATTGCTGAATTCAGCTATGACTCATTCTGTCTTTGGAGAACATTTGAAGGCATATAGTGGGCTCACTCCCAGAAACAGTACCACAGAAGATTTGCCTATTAAAAATGGCTGTAAGGGTGAGCACTGTCATAAGACATCCATTTAATAAAAGTTGAATGCTAGAATGATCTCTACCCATATAAATGGGAACATTTTTGGGGCTCAGAGCATCCCTGTAGCTAAATATTATGCTAGAGGTAATTCTGTTTTACAGCATGCCAGCTTCTTTTAAAATAAAACATAAGCATGCAGTGGTTTTATTTGAAAGAACTTTTGAAAAAAAAATGGTAGGACAGGGAGTCTGATAAGCCCAAAATGAGTTACAGTGTAGAATCTTGGCATCTGTAAGCACTACTTTGCCTACTGCGGGTTCACTCATTTATTACGAAGATCATTTTAAAAAGTTTAAAGATTAGATTTCTTGTGTTTGTGTTACAAAAAGAATTGAGGGTTCCCTGACTCAGATTATTTAATTATGTTATGTTTATTAAATTATGATTAAATTATTATTAATCAGTTTATGCTTTTAATATGTTGTAATCTGCCCAGGGTCACTAGACAATGAGATGGACAGCATATAAGTGTAATACTATTTTACAATAATAATAATGATAACAAGTACCTGCCATATAATACCCCAGACTTAACAATTTTCAGTAAGAAAGACCCAAAAAAAAAAAAATCTAGTTAGTGGACATTACAATACCTGAGACACCAAAATAGAAGAGAAAGAACTGAAGAACATCACAAAATACAAAGACCTGCAAATACGTAGTTAAAGTGTCAGGTTAGAAAGCCAGAAACTATGAGTTCAAGTCCCATCTCAGCCATGAAGCCAGCTGGGTGACTTTGTGCTCACTGTCACTCTCAGTCCAGCCCACCTCACAGTATTGCTCTTGTGAGGAAAATAGGAGGAAGAAATATGTTGAATATGTTCACTGCCTTGAGTTATTTGTAAAAACAATAAAGATGGGATATAAATAAAAAAAATAGAAATAGAATAACTATGACAAAAAGAAAGCAAAGATAGTACCAATAGGTGCCTTAGGTGCAATCCCAAACATCCAAGGATAATTCTCATTGCGGTAGCTACAGATAGAGAGGTTACTAAGGAAAATAGCAAAATAGAGATTGAGTAAATACAGGGGAAAAAATAGTAAGGCTCTCAATCAATGGGTGATGTATTTGTTTCCATCTCAAAAGATTGGAAAAACACTTGAACACAATAGGAAGGGATAAAATCTCAACTCACCAGTTACAAAAAAGTCTGCCTTATTTGAAACAGTGTACATTTTAGAATAGTGTGTTTACCTATCCTACATCCTTGGGAAAGATCTGATAGACAAAGGTCCCAAAACATTTAACAGAAACTGTAAGAAGCTATTTCAGCCAAGGCTTGTCAGAACATTCTAATATTTTCCTGGCTAATTGTTTTGCATTATTTTTTGAATATTTTTTACTTTCTCAGCACAGCAGCTTTGAGTTTAATATACAGTCGAGTGTACTTAGCATATAAACAAAATGACTAAATACTAGAACTACTTCCCCATGAGTTAATCCAACTGCAGCACTATAAGTTAATAGTTCCAGGTACAAAGAGAAATTCTTGGTTTCACAATTGTCATTTTACTTTCATGGCTTGCAAAGGAAGCTTCCTGTCATGACTGTGTGTGTGTGTGTGCTGCAAATGACCAGACAAATAATGCTAGTAAAGAGGAACCTTCATTGGAGAAGGTGTCAAAGCAGATGTAGATGTGCCATCTAGACTTTTGTTCATGATCTCTCCAGCAGGTGTCAGTAAATGTATTTTATTTCTTTTTTGTATGATGTGGGAGTAAGGAGTTTTTTTTGTTCCAGGTCAAAGTACCAATTGACTAAAATTCTAATGTCTAAAACAACAGTAAAAAAAATCTCAGTTTGGCAGTATAGAACTGTGAGCAGATCACTTTAGTTGTCCAGTACAGCTGACACAGTGGAACACAGGGATGCAGAGCTGCTTTCACCCTGATGCAGAATCTCTGTGTGGACTTTCTTTGCTAATACTACTATGCTCCATTCCTATTTATATCAGACCAAGACTACATTTAAAGTATCTTCATGTTCCTCCTTCAGTTCTACCTCAATTACTTTCTGATGGATAAATTACACCTTTGAGTTTCTTTTTCTGAAAGGGTGAGTCTTCCCACTCATCAGTTTCTTCACTTTGGGTTTTTTTTTTCCTTCTTATCCTCTGGAAAGAAAATTACACACAAACACACAGATGAGAAAAGCACTGCTTTACAAGCAAAGAGGGGCTCGACCTATTATTTTTAAATGGCCTTAATTTGGAGCATGCCTCGCATCAGAGTTAGCTCCCCTTATCCATCAAGGGGCTTGCTATAAAGGTTATCCAGAAACTGGTAACTCATTCTTCCAAAGCAAGATTGAGAAAATGGTTCACTTAGCTTTCAGAAGAAAAAGGAAGCAGGGATGACAATATGATAGAACTCTTCAAATATCTATAGGGATGTCACAGAAAAAAAGATCAAAGACTGCTTTCTATATGTTACAGTGTGGGATATAGAATAAAGGGTTTATGATGTATTGCCACAGATCTCATTATCTTGAGTGACTCTGGGCAACAGTATAAAAGCATAGATATAAAAACAATAATGTTAACAATTAAATAGAAGGCTAAAAGTAAAAGTGTGGATGGTAGAGGGGTGGACTTTTGTCTCTCAGTCACTCAACCACCTCCAACATAGTGCACTCTTGTTGGGGGTCCCAAGATAACTGGGCTAGATTTTAAGGCTCTTTTGGAAGGTCAGAAAGCTGGAGGTGGATCTCACCTCAGGAGCCGAGGTGTTCCAGAGCATGGGGGCCATGGCAGAGAAGACTCTTCTCCTTGACCCCACTAACCAAAATTCCTTGACCAATGGGGTTTGGAGAAGGATTCTTCTGCTGGTATGAGTGGGGCGGGGCAATCCCTTTGAAGTGAGATTGTGCTTCGGATAATTTGGTCCCTACCATGACAAGCTTTAAAGGTGATAATCAGCACCATGAATTGAATTGTAAATACAGATTTCAATAAAGTAGGTTATGATGGAACTAGGTTTTCTATGACTAAGGGCATTGTGACAGTAAAACCAATTATCTAAGTAGCTGGCTTATTCCCCTTTGTAGGATGCATCCAAACACTGACTGGCCATCTGCCATGGACATGTTATATGGATTCTTTCACTAAGCAATGGACTCTTTTCAAATGGGTAAGTATCCTCTTCTAACCCTATAATACTTTTTGGAATTCTCCAGACTCTCTGCTATTCATCTGATTCCTATCTTCTCTTCCTATCTTTGCACTACCTCTCTTTTCCTTTGGGTTCTTTTCCATCCCCCAGTCTTCTTAAGTTTGAGTTCTGCCTATGACAAGAACAACATGAAATGGCTTCTTAATGTAATGTAATGTGAATTTGTCTCTCTGGGTCTTCATCCTCTTTTATTCCAGAGGAAAATCCAAAGCCACTAGAATTTAAAAGAATGGCTATTAGTTTTATTCCTGACACTGCACAAAGAGCAGGAAGACAAGAACCAATTATTCTCTAATGTAAATAGCAACTAAATAAAGTGTCCAAAGGCTATTTGCTCCACAGATGAATTAAATTTAAAGGCTAAAGAAGTACACCAGTGGAAATTTCAAAAACATGTAGCAGGTGAAATCCTCTTCAGCTTCCCTCCCCCTCCCCTTAACTAAGATAGTTATTTACTAAACCAGTCTTGCCTTCCAAAATTGGATAACTTTTTACAGTAATATAAATGCATACAATTATTCATAATAATTTGAATTAAAGTAACTGCTGATGCCATAACATCCTCATTGGATTCCCTTCCATAGTTCAATTAATAATTGGACAGTACTGGCTTGCAAGAAATATTATATCACATACCCTTTCCCCTGGTTTTTAAAATGATCTTGAGCTGCTTTTTTCCCATAGAAGACAGCTCAGGGACAATTATTTCCCCTTGTAGACCAAGGTGTTTGAGAAGGGATATTTCTCCAGCATAAACTAGGCCATTTATGTCATCAACTGTCGCAGGTAGTCTCAGTTTTCAGAAGTTATGGCAAGTGGATTCAATAACTTGACTGTGCTTTTTTTAAGGGGCACCTTTCCCACAGATTTATTCGTTTCTGTATTGCATTGATACTCTGCCACAATTGTAACACAAACTCTTGATAGTGATGACATCGATACATTTACTATTTAAGTTCAAATGAAATATTATGTTATTTTCCTAAAGTCAGTGTAAATTGCATTGTGACAATCTGATAATTATGTTCTTGTAGCATTTTTATCTCAGTCTGTTTGCAAGGGTTTTGTTTTACTAAAGATTAATGACTCATTTTAAATTTCTATAGCATAAGCTACCTTCTACTTGTTGTGAAACCATTTTTTATTCCAACCTACAGTAACTTAGGACAATCTGTAAATGGAAACATCTATGAAATACTTATATTCATTCTTCCATGAAGCTGAAATTCCCCCATCTAAATTACACAAGCAATACATTTAACTAAAATGAAAAGGAATACTACACACTTCTAGAGAGAAAGAAACACAAAAGTTGGAATTTGATGTAGACTTATGATTGGTCATTGATCTTCAGCATCTCTCTCTCTCTCTCTCTCTCTCTCTCTCTCTCTCTCTCTCTCTCTCTCTCTCTCTCTCTCTCTCTCTCTCTCTCTCTCTCTCTCTCTCTCTCTTTCTTTCCCACTCTCCGTAATTTCTCTAAAACTTCTGAAAAGCCAACTATAATAGAACAAGGCATGCAAGCAATGGAAAAATTGAAGATAGGGAATATAGAACTGCTCTCATTCAAGCTGCATCCTCTAGGGATTATTGGGAGCTTTTAAAACATTACTGTAGTGGTCTGATCATCAAAACTGTCTAAAAAATAGAAAGATAAAAATATGTCATGCTGGACTCAGACTAAGTGTTGTAAGCTAAGTTGAGAGTCACTGTGGTCACTGTGGAGATGGTAGGAGAGGATTCAAAGAGATCTTTGTAATAAATATTTCATTCCTCTCTCCCTTCTCATTTTCCACAAATAACCAATGTGCATCATCTCTCCTCAGAGATCCAGAACTACAGCCTGGCAATGACTTGCAATTTCCTGGTCTGAGACCATTTTTGAGTTCCTGCAGCGAAATCCTAGCTAAGGAATAAGGAATAAAATTGCAGTGACTGAGTCCCAGTTGCTTTTTCAGATCTTTTAAAAAATATACCCCCTTTTAAAAAAATTTAGAAATCATGTTTCTTCCCAGTAAAAACACACTCAATCTGCAGTGACAAAAGATGGATCAGGTTATTTCTGGAACCAAGGAACTGATTGAAACCAAGGAGCTAACTGAAGAGGAAACAGTCAAATCAGATGATTTCTGGATCTGGGAAACCCATGTCAAAGAGGGATGGGCTTTCCAGTAAAGCCATAGAAATCGTTATTAAGCTAGGGTCATGAGAACCAGATATGTATATTGATAGGCAGGAAAACGCCTTTGGCAAACCTGGGAAAACTAACATGGGAAATTGTAAAATATATGCTTCAAAGAATTTGCAATGCAAGCAGTGATAGAATTCTGGTCTCTTTGCTTTCTACCTCCAGTAAACAGTTAAATGCCAAAAGTTTAATTAAACTGTAGCATTTCCCCCCTTTTAATTTTAACTACTTAATTAATTTGTATAAAGTCAGCACTGTTAGGTCTGGAGCTGGGCCTGCCATTTATTATTTACGTAATTCAGTAGGGACCCCAACAGATTGTGGAGAAGAAGGCTTACAATTATATCTAGTTAAATTGTTATAAATCTGTTTGTATAAAAGGCCAAACAAGGGTGTAACATCAAAGGTCTGAAACTCTATCAGGTTACACCTGTTCACATCACACCTTGCATCTGTCCCTCTGGTTTTATATTCATAGGATACATAGATATTTATGTGGTTAATAAGGTTAACCTTTTAAAACTCTCTCTCTCTCTCTCTCTCTCTCTCTCTCTCTCTCTCTGTGTGTGTGTGTGTGTGTGTGTGTGTGTGTGTGATGTATGTTAAGTGTACAAATTACTCCAGACAAGGTACATTCTCTGGATTTCTCTTGGGATGAGACAAGAAGTATTCCACAAAGCAATTTGACGCAGCAATTAAAAACAAGGGAATGAATTACACTAACAACTGTCAAGAAGAGAAAATTAATTCCGTTCAAACTACACTGCTACCATACTTAGAGTACCCTGGGTGATTATGAGTTGATTGCAACTGGAGTTGTTGTTGTTAGTTGCGAAGTCGTGTCCGACCCATCGCGACCCCATGGACAATGTTCCTCCAGGTCTTCTGTCCTCTACCATCTTCTGGAGTCCATTTAAATTCACACCTACTGCTTCAGTGACTCCATCCAGCCATCTCATTCTCTGTCGTCCCATTCTTCTATTGCCCTCAATCTTTCCCAGCATTAGGCCCTTCTCCAGTGAGTCCTTCCTTCTCATTAGGTGGCCAAAGTATTTGAGTTTCAACTACAGGATCTGGCCTTCTAAAGAGCAGTCGGGGTTGATCTCTTCTAGGACTGACCGGTTTGAACGCCTTGCAGTCCAAGGGACTCGCAGGAGTCGTCTCCAGCACCATAGTTCAAAGGCCTCAATTCTTTTGCGTTCAGCCTTTCTTATGGTCCAACTTTCACAGCCATACATTGCAACTGGGAAAACCATGGCCTGGACTATACGCACTTTGGTTGGCAGGGTGATGTCTCTGCTTTTTAGTATGCTGTCTAGATTTGCCATAGCTTTCCTCCCCAGGAGCAAGCGTCTTTTAATTTCTTGGCTGCAGTCCCCATCTGAGGTGATCTTGGAGCCCAGAAAATAAAATCTGTCACTACCTCCATTTCTTCCCCATCTATTTGCCAGGAATTGAGAGGGCCGGATGCCATGATTTTGGTTTTCTTAATGTTGAGTTTCAAGCCACTTTTGCACTCTCCTTCTTCACCCGCATCAAGAGGCTCTTTAGTTCCTCTTCACTTTCTGCCATTAGAGTGGTATCATCTGCATATCTTAGGTTGTTGATATTTCTCCCGGCAATCTTAATTCCAACTTTTGATTCATCTAGCCCTGCCTTTCTCATGATGTGCTCTGCATATAAGTTAAATAGGCAGGGCGACAGGATACAGCCTTGCCGGACTCCTTTTCCAATTTTGAACCAATCAGTGGTTCCATGTCCAGTTCTCACTGTTGCTTCTTGACCCGCATATAGGTTTCTCAAGAGACAAATAAGATGGTCTGGTATTCCCATCTCTTTAAGAACTTGCCACAATTTGTTGTGATCCACACAGTCAAAGGCTTTAGCATAGTCAATGAAGCAGAAGTAGGTGTTTTTCTGGAACTCCCTAACTTTCTCCATGATCCAGCGTATGTTGGCAATTTGATCTCTAGTTCCTCTGCCTCTTCGAAATCCTGCCTGTACTTATGGTAGTTCTCGATCCACATACTGCTGGAGTCTAGCTTGTAGGATTTTAAGCATAACTTTACTAGCATGTGAAATGAGTGCAATGGTGCGATAGTTTGAACATTCTTTGGCATTGCCTTTCTTTGGAATTGGAATGTAAACTGACCTTTTCCAATCCTGTGGCCATGTTGAGTTTTCCAAATTTGCTGGCAAATTGAGTGTAGCACTTTTACTGCATCGTCTTTTAAGATGTTGAATAGCTCAGCTGGAATACTGTCACCTCCACTAGCTTTGTTGTTGCTCAGATTTTCTAAGGCCCATTTCACTTCACATTCTAGGATGTCTGGTTCGAGGTCAATGACCATTTCATTGTGGTTATCTGGGATGTTAAGCTCATTCTTGTATAGTTCTTCTGTGTAGTTTTGCCATCTCTTCTTAATCTCTTCTGCCTCTGTTAGGTCTCTGCCATTTTGGTCCTTTATCATGCCCATTTTTGCATGAAACATTCCCTTCATATCTCCAATTTTCTTGAAGAGATCTCTGGTCCTCCCTATTCTGTTGTTTTCTTCGATTTCTTTGCACTGTTCATTTAAGAAGGCATTCTTATCTCTTCTAGCTACTCTCTGGAATTCTGCATTCAATTGGGGGTATCTTTCTCTTTCTCCTTTGCCTTTTGCTTCCCTTCTTTCCTCAGCTATTTGCAAAGCTTCCTCAGACAGCCATTTTGCTTTCTTGCATTTCTTTTTCTTTGGGATGGTTTAGTTGCTACCTCTTGTACAATGTTGCAAACTTCCATCCATAGTTCTTCAGGCACTCTGTCTATCAGATCTAATTCCTTAAATCTATTTGTCACCTATACTGTATATTCATTAGGAATATGATTTAGTTCATACCTGAGTGGCCTAGTGCTTTTCCCTACTTTTTTCAATTTAAGCCTAAATTTTGCAACGAGAAGCTCATGATCTGAGCCACAGTCAGCTCCTGGTCTTGTTTTACTGACTGTATAGAGCTTCTCCATCTTTGGCTGCAGAGCACATAGTCAATCTGATTTCTATGTTGACCGTCTGGTGATGTCCATGTGTAGAGCCGTCTCTTGGGTTGTTGGAAAAGAGTGTTTGTTATGACCATCGTATTCTCTTGACAAAATTCTATTAGCCTGTGCCCTGCTTCATTTTGTACTCCAAGGCCAAACTTGCCTGTTATTCCGGTTATCTTTTGGCTTACTACCTTAGCATTCCAATCCCCCATGATGATAAGGACATCATTTTTTGGTGTTAATTCTATAAGGTGCTGTAGGGCTTCATAGAACCGGTCAATTTCATCCTCTTCAGCACCAGTGGTTGGGGCATAGATTTGGACTACTGTGATATTGAATGGTTTGCCTTGGATTCGAATTGCGATCATTCTGTCATTTTGGGGATTGTATCCCAGTATTGCTTTTCCTATTCTTTTATTGACTATGAAGGCTACTCCATTTCTTCGAGGGATTCTTGCCCACAGTAGTATACCTGATGGTCATCTGAGTTAAATTCACCCATTCCTGTCCATTTTAGTTTGCTGATTCCTAAGATGTCGATGTTCAGTCTTGTCATCTCTTTTTTGACTACGTCTAGCTTGCCTTGATTCATGGATCTTACATTCCAGGTTCCTATGGAGAAAAGATCTTTACAGCATCGGACTTTCCTTTCACCACCAGATATATCCACAGCTGAGCGTCCTTTCGGCTTTGGCCCAGTCGCTTCATTCTTCCTGGCGCTACTAGTACTAGCCCTCTGCTCTTCCCCAGTAGCATATTGGACACCTTCCAACCTGAGGGGCTCATCTTCCAGTGTCATATCTTTTTTCCTTTTAGTACTGTCCATGGGGTTTTCATGGCAAAGATACTGGAGTGGTTTGCCATTTCCTTCTCCAGCGGATCACATTTTGTCAGAACTCTCTGCTATAACCTGTCCGTCTTGGGTGGCCCTGCACGGCATAGCTTATAGCTTCATTGAGTTACGCAAGCCCCTTCGCCACGACAAGGCAGTAATCCATAAAGGGGGCAACTGGAGTATTGCCAAACAAATGTTAGGGGGTGAAGGTGCTATCTTCAGCGACTTTTAGAAAGATGAAATAAGTTTTGCACATGCTTTAAACCTACTGAGTCTTACATGCATTTTATTTATTTGTTTCTTATGGTTTCCAAAGATGGGATATCTGCGTCCCAATACTTACTATTCTATATTTTCATGCATTTCTTTATGTTACTTATACTACATTTTTTATTAATTCTTTTGAAATTCCCATGGATTACAGTGGACATTTCTATGTACAACTTGCCTAGTAAATTGTTTATAAATTTTCCATTAATATTGGAAAGAGCATTTTATCCTTGATCATAGTACTTTGTTTGCTGATGTAAGATATCCTTCCTCAAATTAAAACCCTTCAGATATGTTGGTACTACAACTCCAAGAATGTGCAGTCAGCATAAATTTAAAAAATGAGTAATTCCACATAGGAACCATTCTGTTATCTTAAAATACTATTTGATAAAACAAACTTATGAAAGGCAGAAAAGAGAATTATAAATATTTCTCCCTGTTGGTTTTTTATTGACTTTGAAGTTGTTTACAAATTCTTTCAAAATAAAGGAGAATTTTGCAGAAACTCAGATGAAATATGGTGTTCTTATCTTTGTTAAGTTACAAAAGATCAAAAACTAACTGGGAGCCTCTTGTCTATTTGCCTCTTTTACTTTCATCTCTCCTGCATTCAATAGCCTCATTGGCTCCTCACACTTCCACTGAATCTCAAGGAAAATATATTAAGGAAACTCCACCCATTGGGAATTTTCAGCAGTGTTGATACTACCATTGTTTTGTGAATAGTCTATGCTTTAAAGAAATTCTTTTCCTTAGAGAAATTCAAATAAATCACCCACCAATTATTTTTATTATAGAGGAGTTCTAGAAGGATATTTCACCATTCAGTTTTATTAGCTGAATATGGACCAAGCACAGCCTCAGCCTGAGGCTCTCCGGATATGTACATTTCAGTTTCCAAAATCCTTGGCAAATATGATTATTTTGAAATTTCTGAAAGACAAATAATTTGGAGGTGGATCATAATGTGGAGAACCTTCTTCTATCAACCTAGTTTACATCATGCTAAATATTCTACAGTATTTCCTCTAGCATTTCCCCAAATACCTTACTCTTTTATCTGAAGAACTCTAAATATTGTAACTTTCTCACCGATGTTGCTTTGTTACACTCAGATGCCAAATATTGCGATTAGTTACATAACATGCTTAGCCTCTTTCTCAAATTATCCAATTTGTGTGCATAATACATAGAACTATTAACTCACAAGACAGTCCAGTATTCACAGAACGTACTAAATCGTATGTTTATTACTGGCCTAGTTAAGCACGTTGGTGATAATTATAGGAGTTCAAGAATTTACTCTCAATTGACATTATTCCTTCTTTTGTACAGATTTCTTTTGCTGTCTCTGTTTTAGCAATTAAGTAATTTTGCACCATGTTCTGTCCTCATTACATTTTTATTATAAAGAATTAATATATTTTACCATTTACTGTTCTGGTGAAATCAGGAGAGAAACCGTGAGAATGAATATATTTTGTTCCACTTGTCCTCATTATAATTTTAAGGTATTCTCAAGAATGGATTAACTCAATGCCACTTTTCCCTTTTTATCATAAGAATGAAAGCTAAAATAGTTATGAAACTCCGCCAGGCATTTGTATGAAACTATTCTCAGCTCACAATGAAGCTGCATCAAAAAAGGGATGAGGATGAGATGAATATTTAAAATGTTATATGTAGTTGTATAAATTTATATTAAAAGATTGGATGCCTTTGAGACAAAGCTAAAGAAGGAAGACAATGAAAGACATGACCCAACACTCATGACTATCTCAGGATCATAATTTCGCTCTTATGTTCAGCACACCATTATGATTTTCATTAAATATTCATTCCCCAACAGACTATAAACAATTCCTTGTTAATAAATGGCTGGATTTGTTGACATTAATTTAATACACCAGCATTCCATTTTACTCAAAATATTTTAGGATCTCAGGTGCTAGATGCATTTGCGGAAGAAATGTAATTCATAAGTAGTATTTTAAGAAACAGCATTGAAATTACATTCAAAAGACAGTTTAAATGCCTTGAACTAATTGCAGAAGAACCAGAGGGGGTCTGAATAACATTACATATGTAAGACCACAGAGTAAAGACTACATTTTTTAAGTTTAATAGATAGCCAAAATATAACAGAATTAGCAATGTTTTTGAAGGGAAATTGAACGGAAAGTAGATGCTTTGCATGCCAAGGATCTGCAATTCAATTGTTGTCAGCTCTCAATGACATGGGTCTGAAATCATAGACAGTACCTGCCACTTGGTATCAGCAATACTAAACTTAATACTGAATGATCTGATTCAATAAGCCAACCACTTCAGGTCTTCTTAAAGGAACAGCTTCCTGTGATAATTCTAGTGTTTCCTACTTACACTTTTCCAATGTAGGAGAATGTTTCTAAATTGTTGATATAAGAAAACAACTTTATTTGTTTCCATTTTGTGCATAATAGATATGTGGACTGATACACAATAAAATATCCATGAAATCTATTAACATTTTTAAAAATAAAAATAAAAAACAGAGCTGCTAAAACCATACAATAAAATGTGAGAATAGCATTTAAATTAGAAAGCAAATTGTACAATATTAAAAGCATGTGGATATATAGCAGAATTTATCACTTGTCAAAATGAAAACAAATAGCACAGCACTCTGAAAAAGATAATGTATTGTTGGAATGCTACTTCTCAATGGAACTGTTTGTGGCACTGATTATTCAAATTTTCTTACTGGTCAAATATACACCATACAATTAATTATTATATAGGGGTTTATATGATATAAGTACTTTGAATATCCTGATCCCAAGAATTAGCAAAGTGAAAACTGGCACCTTGAATTGTTTCAGGAAGTGTCAACCTGGTTCAATTCTCCTTCTCCTTTGCCTTTTCCCAGAAATGCAGAGTCTTTTGGGGGGGGGGGAAATCAATGAATGCCATTTCAGAGTCCTGCCACGACAATATATGTGGCTGTTAATCCATTGATTGTGACAGGAATTGACAGGCTTGTTGCAGGAGTCTGATGGCGGTTTGTCTATGTTCAACTCAGCATCATGTTTATGGGAGAGCAGTTTCCAGCAGCACCAATGAGAAGGAACGGACGTCATCACCAACCTTATTCCATGACTGATATATGGTAATTTACAAAGCATACGCTTCACAAAACTCTAGCTATTGTATCTTTCTCTACCTGGATTTCCTGAATACTTTTCAGGAATATGTATTGTATTTTCAAATGTTATGTATACTCTGAAAAAATGGACAAATTAAACATAATGGAAGCAAATGTACAATGCCAAACTGTGTAGTTCTTTATAACATGATCCTAATTATGTCAGTTAATCACAATTAGCATGTATGCAAATATAAGCACTTAAGTCTAGACTCCAAAATCAGAGAGGTTTCTGACTTCAGCAAGCTTCAGATAATTTAATCCAGATCCAGCCCAGTGTTTTATTCAATCTACTAGGAAACAATATTCCATTGGACACCAAAGACATTTTTTCCTAACATTATCCTCAATCTAAAGTAATTTTGATTAGCATAAAAGCATCAAACTTTACTGACAGGAATAGAGTTAGTTGTGTCTCTTGGGGAAGACCCATAATTCAGTAGCTGAATATTGCTACTGCAAACAATCAAGTTCAAATTTATGTTATTGTATTCTAGTATTTCTTTTAAATTTTGGTAGTAAATGAACATTGCATAAAAAAATTGTCCCTTGGTATCTGGAATTTTTTCTTCTGTTGCAAAGGACACTTCGTTTTTTCTCTCTGATTCTTGTAGCCTTTTAAATTTTATGTTGGCTTTTTATTTTTTCTAAGCAGCATTGTTTCTGCTATGTGGCAGATGGTTCAATCCTTACTGTTCCTTTCTATTTTACACCTCTCTCCAGAATTCTAAAGTAAGGAGCTGGTGGGCATATTTAAAACAATCAGAAATAAAAATCCAGTTTGCTATTGGAAGGAAATGATTTAAGATTTAGATGGCACAGCTATTTGTGCTATGGCAAAGTCAAGGCAAATGTAGATTTTAAAAATCATTTTAATAGATGCACTATATTAAGAATTTGGAATAGACTTACGGCTAATTTCTCTCCTCAAATCCCTTTATGGTTGTCACCCCAAGAAGCCTTCTTTAGAAGACAAATGATAGCTAAAAAGAAATGATTAACTTATGCTTAGTGTATTTTTCTCAAGGAGACTTTAATTTAAAACAACAGAAAACTTGGAGGTGAAGGTTTTACATGCCATTATTTCCTTAAGCTCAGCTTATCAAAAGATTTAAGCTGGATAAGAATAACTATCAATTTGAAAAAGGTAAACCTGAATCTGATGTAGAGTTTTGTAGAAATGATTATCATATTATTGCTAAGATGTATAAACTTTTATTGAATTATGGATGAACAAGTTAAAGGTTGTATGATAAAATGGGGAAAAATTGGGTATAACATTTAGTTGGAAATAGTATGCCAGAGAATATGTGGAAGAAATGGCTGAAGTTTATATTGAATATAATCAAAGGCAATTTTTATAAAATGATGTACAGTTGGTACATGACACAGGATAAATTGTCAAAGATATAAATAAGGAAATTTCAAATATTTGTTGGAAAAGTAATCAAACTGGTTTTTTTTCATCTTTGGTGGGCATGTAACAAAGCTAGAAAATATTGTGATCAAGTATATATTTTGATGCAGATTTTAAAAGTAAATTTATAATTGAAACCACAGGCATTTCTTTCACACATAATAGACAAACAAATAGAGACATTTTAGAGAACTTTGTTTTTATACATGATAATGACAGCAAGACTTTAATATGCTCAGATATGGAAGGACTAACAAATACCTACAATGGAAGAATGGATGGTGAAGCTGGTAGAATTGGAAAGATGATGAGATTGACACAGCCTTAAAGAAAGAAAAGACTGACAAATTTTATTTCTACTTGGAAACCATTTTTGGACTTTTTGCAAGAAACTGGGAAAATGAATATTTGGAAATAATGTGTAGATAAAGGTTAATCTTAGAGTAAGAGTTAGATGCATTTTTGTACATATGTGTGCACCAAAGAAAGTCATAAGTCATTCTTTCTCTTTTTCGTCCGTCTTTCTTTTTTTTACTTTCTTCCACTGTTTCTCTTTCCTGAGCTTTTTCTTTTTTTCAATTTTGTTTTTCCTGGTTATCTTTTAATTTTCTATTTTTTTAAAAAAAAAATCCCTCTCTCTTTTCTTTTTTTTTAAATGTTCCAGTTGTAAGCCATTGCCAAGTTTTATCTTTATTCACTTTCCTCTTGACTTTTTGTAGAAATTGACCATGCAAGGCTTTTCCCTGCCAGCATTCTGTTCATCTTTTCATTATTTATTTTAATATTCATGATTGTTTCCTATATCTTCAATAAGTTCCAGCTTTAACTGAAATCAATAGTTCTTGGCTGCCTTTTATATACAGTGCTTATCTTTCTTAACAGTTTGTTTGATTTGAAATAAACTTCATTTCAAAAACTCTATGGGGATGTAATGCATGGTGAATAATCATCAGTTTTCTGATAGCTCCTGATAGTTTGGCAACTTTGCATTTCAATTCCACTACTATTTGTGATTTTATTCCAATTTATTGCTATTGTGGCACATTTCTCTAGGCCAAATGCAACTGCAAAATCTGGGCTAAAAATTCTTACAATGTCCATCAATTACTGGTCCTACTTCAGCAGCCTTCCTAAATGCCTGTTATTCTGACTTTTTTTTAAAAAAATGAGGATATCCCTATACAGAAATACTAGAAAATAAAATAGAAGTTGTGGATTAATATAAAGAGATGAAAACTAAAGTGAAAACATGAACAATACAAACAATAAACTAAGAGGTGAAAAATGACCTGATTCATTATTGAAAATACAAAAAAGGGTTGTTAGAACCATAAACAAACTTCCAAACAGGGAGAGAGAGACAATTTGGATGGAGATCAAATCCTACAACAACATCTTAATGAAACAAAGATTAAGAAAGTTAAGAGCAAATTAAAGGAATATAAAATTGACCTGTTTGATTAGGCTTTTAAAAAAGAAATACTTTTATAAAATCTGGGAGCCCTTTATGGATTTTTGGCTAATCCTGGAGAGAAATATTAATGATTTACAGATTTTTGGATGAATAGGGGTTGAGATGTGGGAAGAAGTGACTTACGTAACATCATTTCAAAGGGGGGTATTTAATATTATGTTAAATAAATCACTTCTTGCTTGTAGTTATTGAAGAGAAGATAGGAAGTCGCTTCTTTAAATATTTTCTTTTTCTTTCTTCTCTTTTCTTTCTCTTTGATTTTAGTTTGTGTTATCTTTCACTATTGTTAAAATCCTTAATAAAAAGTATTTGTTTTCAAAAATGAAAATTTCCCATATATTTTTAGGATGTCTATGAAATATGGAAAGCCAAAATGGCTGTAAGCCATTCTACAGACTGATATTTGCCTTTCTCCACCATTTAAATCAGATCAGGAAAAGAACTTTTTTCCCATCCAGGAGAAGTAAAAACGATTTATTTTAAGTAGAAACAGAGACTGTTGCATTATCCCATTGTGAAACCTCCGGAGGTCATTAACACGTACAACCAATGGCCACTCAGTACTATAACCTGGCCTGAACTCAGACCGAAAATGGGTCCAGATAATCTGCTTCATCCATGATCTTCTGCAGTTATCTACCAACCTCACTCTCAACCTAGAAAGGAAAAGATGGAGACTAGACAAAGTTATCCAATTCTGTTGGGTTCAAAGATGATCTCTTGAGAAGGGGGCCCACCACTCTTTTAAGACTGGTGGCCCCATACCCTTCCACAATGAGACATCAATCACTCCTTGGAGCCAGCTTGTTCAGAAAATTGAAAAGAACAAAAAAAAACCCACTGAACAACCCAATTCCTAACAGTTGCCCACCCCACCATCAGGGCAAATGCTTTTGCTCAATGCTGGTTGAGCAGATGTGGCAAAGAGAATTGAAATCCATGCTTCTGAAGTGTGAGGCTGTCTCTCTGGGGGATTGTTTTCTCTCTTCTTGATTCTTTGCTATCACTTATCAGCTCTTTCAGTCACATGCATGCTGTCATGGGACAATTAGCGTGCCATAACTAAATCAACAAAATCTTCCCTCCCTCAAAGATGTGCATTGCCCTATGAAGTTAAGGAAATGACTGTGTTTTCTTAGGAGGGTTTTCTGCATATTTCACTCCCCTTAAAAGACTCCATTGCCCTGGAAGAATGGCTGGATGATGTCTCCTCCACTTGAATTTTGTTACAGGCTCTGTAATTAGCAACTAATAGAATCCCTCCCTCCTCCCTGTAGGCCAGCAGCAGGTGCTCCTATTTTCAGATATATATGAAATATCTGCCAAATAATTTGGCAGATTTCAGGGAGAAATGTGCCAAATTACCTGTCATAGCAAAAACTGCCTTTTTAAAGGAAAGATAAATGGCCTTAGCTCGCTGCTTTTACTGAACAACAGTGCCCCCCAGTGGCTCCTCGTCCTGCTCGTAAATCTCTGGATGCTCTCAATTCCTTGAGGGGATCCAGGTCATGCAAGGAACATGCACCTTAGTCTGAGATTGCACATTTATATTATCTGGCTACAGAAGACAATGTTATGGACAGCTTCCATGGAAAGCTATGACATCCTGAAGTTTTGTCATTTTGAAGGGTGAGAAAAATTCAGTTCAGCTTATTTATACACAGTTTTTACCTTGTTACTTATCATCAGACATTTGGCTTTCTTCTTAGAAAAATGGTCTGCTGCAAATACACTTGTTTTATGTTCTCTATGTCTAATTAAGTGCATGTCTGTTTATTGACCCCAAGAACTACTAGTAGAGATGGACCAAGTTGAATTCAAACCAAAGGGGTCTAACTTTAGAGTGTTCAGAGTTTAAACCAAGAGAATTTTCTACATTGACAAGCAGAAAACATATGAATCTGAAATTTAGCATCCTTATTTGCACTGATAGATGATCATGAGATCTAACCTTTGCATGGAATAGCTTAACCTAAAAGCAACATAAGTTTGTTATAATAGTCGTCTCTGTGGGGCTGTCGCTTGTGGTATCCAGATTCTAAAAGTTGTGTCTTCCAGTTTAGGAACCCTTAAAAGAAGAATAAGGATCTAAGAAGCTTGTCTGCATTTCAGGAAGCAAAAGGATGACCAAGATGTATTGATTTGTATCTCTTTATCACATTTTAGCTCCTTTAAAGCTGGTCTCAATTT